TTAATACATAAATTACATTTTAATTAAAAATAGGTTCATGTGGTAAGGCAGTGTTCCCTTTTTAGTCCCTTTCTCTGATCTTGTGCACAGAACTCAGGCTGGTGTGAATGCCTCCACCACTCGCAAAACTCCCTTCTCAGCTGAGAATTTCTCTCTGGTTGGGAAATATTGGCTAGCGACAGAATTCACCAATGCTGTTTTGCTTTAATTGCACTTATTTTTAGAGTTTCTTTTTGTTTATGTAAGTGAACATCCTATTAAGTAGGCAACAAGTAGTAATTTTTTAAAAAACAAATAAATAATTGCTGGTAATATTGTCAGCACTTTGTTGTACATTGAGCCATGCTTTAAAGGAACATGATGTAGTTCAGTGCCTCCTTTCAATGTCAGTGGGGAACAGGTGCTATTATTCTTGCTTGCTAAGTGAGAAAAGAGGGAAAGAGGGAATATTTTGTTTAAGGTCACAGCTAAATGGATACTAGGGCCAGGTGTCAGACTCTTAACCTCCATCTCATGCTGCCTCCAAGTTTAGAGAAGCAAAGTTGACATATATGAATGATGCATGCAGTGTAAGAGATACTAGAATAACTAAATGCAAAGTCATGTGCTATATTCATTAATATACAAGTTTTAGATTACAGTTATAAATATGGGATCTAATTTTCTTGTAGTTTGTCTGCCATTTTGTATATATATATATATATATATATATATATATATATATATATTCAAATTGAATATATATATATTCAAATTGGCCAAATTAGTTTCTTTCTTTACCTCTGTTCTCTTCAGTGGTAAAGTATAGCTAATAACTACTTCACAGGATGCACACAAATGCATTTTGTTGCAAAGATTACAGGATATACCTTTTTAAAGTAACTTCTAGTGCATAGTTACTAATAAAATTGGCTAATATTGCTATCTGGGGACATTATTAACTCCTAAATTAGAGTTTTAAAAAGACCCGGGTTTTATTTTTATTTTATTTTTTATTATTTTTTCTTATTTTACATATTGATCCTAGTTCCCTCTCCCTCCCTCTCTACTTCCCATGCCTCTTGACCCCCTCCCACCTCACCCCACCCCCACTCCACAGGGAGGGTGATGCCTTCCAGGAGGGATCATCAAAATCTGTCAAGTCCTTTGGAGTAGGGACTAGGCCATCCCTCCTGCCTCTATGTTAAGGAAGTATCCCTCCATGGGGAATGTGCTCCCAAAGTCCTTTTGCGCACCAGGGATACATCCTGCTTCCACTGTAAGAGGTCCCTTAGACTGCCCAGGCCTTCTAACTGAGACCCATGTTCAGGGGGTCTGAGTCTACTGTGCAATGGTGACATTGACTTAAGTGGGGTTTGTCTATACCCAAGCCTCTACTTACATCATAATTACAGATGGAACTTTGGACATTCATCTGTTTCAATATTAGTGCTGCAGAAACCATCCATACATGTAAAAATTACACCCTGTTCTTCCCAGACTTTTGTGATAGAAATAGGTGATTTCAACTGAGCATATATTATGTGTCAAGAACTCTGCTGAAACATGATGCTTACAATGTTTTACAGTCTCTCTGTCTTAATCTCCATTGCTATAAAGAGTACAGTGAATAATTGAGAGAATTAATTCTAGAGTCTATAAAGCAGCAGGATAACTATTACCTATCATTCATCTATCTATCTATCTATCTATCTATCTATCTATCTATCATCTATCTACCTACCTATCTTTTTATCATATGTCATCTGTCTACCTATCATCCATCTATCTATCATCTATTTCTCTATCTACCTATCTATCATCTATCAATCAATCAATATATCTATCATCTATCTATTATCCATCTATCTATCATCTATCTACCTATCTACCTACCTACCTATCATCTATCTATCTGTCTATCATCTATCTATCTATTTACCTATCTTTCTACCTATCATCTATCTATCTATTATCTATCTATCTATCTACCTACCTATCTATCTATCATTTATCTATCTATCTATCATCTATCATCTATCTATCTATCTATTTGCCTACCTATCTATCTATCATCTATCTATCATCTATCTATCTTAGAGACTTATTTTGAATTATTCAGCCACCTTCAGGTACCATGAAAGTTGATATTGATCCAACATACCAAAACTGTACTAGGTTAACATACAAAATGGCTATTAATAAAAATAACAAGCCTTCCTTTAGCAGATGGCTGGGGTAACAGAATGGCACCACCTGAGTGAAAAAAAGAAAATAGAAAATAAAGGATTAGAGCTGTTTCTGGCACAGGGACACTGGGACCATTAGAAAGAAAGATAACACGAGGCCATGCAGTCTGTTTTGGCTTGCAGGCAATTCTGGACACCAGGAAGCTTCAAAGGCAAAGCCCCAGGCAACAAACTGTACAGACAAGAACTGTGCATCAGTAAAAACCATGCAGAGAATGGATGGGGCGGTAAGCATAGGCAAGGGGGAAACAAGGCATGGGGAGGTAGTATTAAAGACCCCTTATGATTTCAGGTCTGACCACCTGAAATATTAAACATACCAAGAAGGTTACATTTAGGAATGTGTGTGCACATAAATATATGCATGTAATAACTATCAGTGAATAAAAAGGTAATGAATTTGAAGGGGAATAGGAAGGGGTATATAGGAGGGTTTTGTATACAGGAAACAGAGGAGAGAAATGTAATCATATTAGAATCTCAAAAAAATTAAAAATCCTTTATGAGGAGGCCGGGAGGCACTTATGAGTGAAACTCACTTTGTATTTAGGCATCAGAAACATTGTCATGTATCAAGATGCTAGGAGATATGAGATGTCAGTGAACAAAGAACAATTTCTTAGGCACAGGGGAATATATATATATATATATATATATATATATATATATATATATATATAAAGAAAGAATGATAGAAAGAAAGGAAGGAAAGAAAGCAGTTTGGTACCTATGTCCTGCCATAGGCTCAGTCCACGCAAAGTCCCTTGATGGGGAGGCAGCTTCTGTTGCACTATTTCTGGAGATGACAAGATGGCTCAGTGTTTAATAAATTTGTGGCTTAATCAAAAAGACCAGAGCTAAGTTTCCAGCACCCATATATGTTGCTTCCCGGACACCTACACTTGTAACTCTAGCTCTATGATGTCTGGCACCAAAGTCTCAGTGGGTACCTGCACACATTTTCGTGTGTACATTCACACAAGCACACATAGACACTCACACAAATATGAATTAAATTAAAAATATAAACAAATTGACCTACATTTCAGCTTTAAGGAGTCTGTCACATAGTTGATGCATCGAAATTAATTTAGCATGAAGTGCTACAGCACAATACACCTGAACATATACTTGTCTTTTAATTTCCTCCGATTGAAATGTCTTAATGTACATTTTATATTCTCCCATAGAACTTCTGTGAAAAGCATTCCTAACAAACATGTATTCAGATTCAGTGAACTTGTTGTTTTAAATACATAGGATGTATCGCATAATAAATGTAGTAGTTTTATCATTCTTATATCATTGCTGTGATTTAGTTTAAAAAATGTGTGCTGGCAGTGTACCTCAATCTTGGTGGTAGAACATTTGCTAGTATCTAGGTGGCCATTGGTTCGATCCCAGTATACACACACACACACACACACACACACACACACACACACATACACACACACACGGGGGGTGGGTGGGTGAGAAAGGTAGATTTGCAGGAAGTTGGAAAGGTAGTAGAGAGAATTATGCCTTCTTCAGCCAATTCTACTCAGCAGTCACATCCCACGTGACTGTACTATACCATCCAAGTCAGGTAGGTGATATGGAAATATGGATCTATGTTTGTATGTAGCTCTATGCTATCTTATAGCTCAATGAATTGCATGCCATCAAGGTGCAGGCCTGGTTCATTACCACAATATCCTCTTTATTCCCCTTTAGATTCATATCTTCTCGATCTCTACCTACCAGAAACCACCAGCAATCTTTCCCATATTGAAAAAAAAAAAATCTGACATTTCAAGAATGTGATCTAAGAGAAACTAGAATATGTAATTTTTTTAAACAGAAACTTTGCAGTTAGCATAATGTTCTATGGCACATCTATTTATAAACTGTTACATGTTTCAATTTTTTTATCCTTTCTTGTCCTTCAATTATTTGCCTTTTATTTTCTGGTAAGTACTGTTCCATAGTGTGGATGTAGTGTTTACTTATTTGAGACCATCTTGGCCATGTATGGTTTTGTGTCACTACAGTGAACTTCTGTGTTCAAGGTTTTGTGATGCGGTTTTAATAAACGTATTTCATGGAGATTGAGGTGGCAGATGCTCCATAGGAGCCCTTCCTTCTAATTATTTGTTCAAAACCACACAACCACACACGTTTTCCCCATGTCCTAAGCTGTCTCTCTCACTCTTTCACACTAATGGTTGTACACACTGTTCTTCAGGTAGTTTCAAAAAGTAATGATTAACTATGTAATTAGTTCTGGAAAAATATATGCGTAACAACTTAACTGGGGTTTTTTTTTTTTTTTTTTTTTTTTTTTTTTTTTGATCCTCTATGTAAATCTGAATGATTGAGTTTCTGTTTCAGTCCTTAGATGAGTGTTGAATTGAGGCCCAGTCCCTGGCTGGGCCACGCTGATGTTATGAAATATTGTGGTTTGTGCAGTGTTTTACACTAGTTGCTTTTTAAATTGTCTCCAGTTGTCCGGAGTTCATGTGTTGTCTATAGTGATACTTAAATGTGTTGTCTATGGTGATACTTAAATATGCATTACTAAGTGTAAATTTCCTGCACATTTGGGTTGTTGTACTTTGCCCTAACACAGGGAAACAGCTGTTGAGCACACACATACACACACACACAATCAAAGTTTGCAAGGTGTGTGGTTCCAGTCTTGCAAATAAAGGTGAGGCCTGGGTGGAGGCTGCAGCGTGTTTATCATTGTGTAACTTCCTCTGCTTACTCTGCTTTCCTTTCCCTAAGCAGCATGACAAAGTAATCGGCCGTCCACAGAGTACCAAAAGAGTATGTACAGACCCGCTAGGTAAGGACCCTTTTACTTTCTCCTGGTCATGCTACTTTTTATCATCACGTAGTTTACATATATCCGAGTTCTTTTATATAAAAGAGGTGAGAGGGTGACAATCATTGCTCAGAAGCCCATCAGTGGACTTCCTTGGGAATTCATGTGCGCACAACCTAAAATAGCATTTTCAAACTAATATAACTAAACTCACATTGTAATTCACAGGAATGTGAGCTTTAGAAAGTCTTTAGCTCAGGTTGCAAGATATTTCTTAGTTTGGTAACGGCACTATAGTTTGCACTATTGCAAAAGTGTTCAACTCCGACTCTAACTTTCATTTGTCAGTATCTAGATGCTGTCAGCAAAGCCACCCTTAGATGCCAGTGTTGTAGTTTCAGACAAACGGCATGTGAGAGGAAGACACCATGTGATAGGGTTCAAGCAGAGGGTTTTATTTTATTGGGGGAAGGGATCATAAAAAGGAGCAGGAGGAGAAAGGAGAAAGGAAAAGGAGAGAGGAGAGATGGGGGACAGACAAAGAGAGAGGAGAGGGGGGATGGGAGGTGGGCAGGGCCCTTTTAAATGGGAATGTAGTGAATATGCAGAGGTGGTGCTCTTAGTGGCTGCAGCTGAGGGTGTATCCTGTCAGAACCCCAAGGACAGGCCAGTACAGATGCCTGAATACTAACATTCAGCAGAGGTGAAATTGAGGTGTGTATTCCTTTGAAACAAGAGAGAGTGGGTTTCATAGTGTAATGATTTGGACTCTGAAACCAGAGGGTAGAGATTTGGTTGTGGTTATACATAAGTAGTCAGGTCTCATATTAATAGGTATGTAGCTACCTAACAAAGATGCAAATTTCTAGAAAGGATCTGACTCTTATATTTGAGCTTAAATGTGTTGCTTGATGATGTTGAAACTTCTAATTCTGTAATTGTGCTCTTCAAAGGCATCAGATTATTCTCCAGACTTTATTGGATCCACCAGGAACCAAACAGTCCTCATGGATTAGTGCAGGAAATGCAGGCCCTCCTAAACTGCCCCATGTAGAGAATAGAAATAAGCTTCAATATCACATACTTTATCAAATGAACACTTTTTAAAAGAGAGCAGGTGAATGTCACACAGCTGGAGTAGGCGAAATCTCAGAAAGTCTAACAATGTTGACTTTTAAAGAATTTGATGTTGAAATAAAAACACAATAGCTGTTGTCAGTGGCCATCAGACTACACAAGAACCTGCTGTTCCTCCATGTATGTATTACGAAGCCCCAGCTCTCATCACAACTTCATATGGAAGAATGATCATGCATGGAGTTAGACCTGGTTTGTTGACTGTCCCATGCTCATCAAAGCTAAGTCTGAAAGACCAAAGGATATATTCCAAAGATCTGAGTGGAGGCAAACGAGAGAACTCCAGGCTTCTGATCACCAAAAGAGTAGTGCAAATGAAACACTTCTCATTTTTATTAAGGCAAGGAAAACGTAAGCTGATGTTTATAGGTTAGATTAAAGGAATTCATCTTATGTTATGTCTTATCATCTTGTGCATGTTTAAAGGCTTTCACATTTCCCATAGGGTTCCCAACGCATTCCCTCCATGACCTTGATTTCAAGTGCATTCACTTATCAGAGTTTATCCAATTATTCCTACAAGGCTACCTTGTAGGAAGAACTTTCTGCAGTCTGTGCCATCCATAGTTCAAAGTAAGTTCACAGCTTTCCAGAACAGACACCCATAATAAGTAATAATGCTCAAAACACCAAATTAATAAGCCTAAATAATAGGGGTGTCTTTCAATAGATTTTTCAAAAGGGATTAATGCGATCAGATCAAATCATAAATGCTTATTAGTTGTGCTGAATACAAAAACAAGCCAAAATTGATAGCAACAATGTGAATGAGAGTCATAATTCTTTTCAGCAAGAACACAGAATTTTGTAGTGGTCAGTCTTCCAACACTGTGACAAAGCAACTGAGAAAAATCACTTTTTAAATGGGAAAAGGGGCCTGAAGAAATGGTTCAGTGGTTAAGAGTACTTGTAGCTTATGCAAATGAACTCAATTTGGCTCCTAGTACCCATCTGCAACTCCAACTGCAGGGGATATGATGCCCTCCTTTGGCCTCTGTTATTACGGCATGCACATATGCATACATACACATACATACAGCCAAAACACTAATACAAGTAAAATAAAACAAATCTTTAAAATATTTAAAATAAGAAAAGCTTATTTTAGCTCAGTTTCACCATGACTCTCTGACAGTAGGATACATCATGGTGGGATGATATGGCAGATGTTCTATTCACCAAAGAAAGAGGAAGACCTCAGGGTCATAGTACTGGACAAACAAGGAAGGCCCAATGGCCTACCTTTCTCTCACCAGGCTCCACCCACTAAGGGTCCTTGCATCTCTTAATAGCACCACATACTGAGAAACATGGGTCTTTTAAGGACAATATTCAAGATCCCAGCTATAACAAGAATGATTAATAGTGTGTCAACCAGACTGGAAAATAGAAGGAATACTTGAGATCCATAAGGTTGAGACATTATTTAGATATGAGGGTATGTGAAATGGGCTTTGAGAAATTTGAATAGTAACAAGTGTTTTAGCATACTCGACCAAACTACTCCATTAAAAAGTCAATGGAATGAAGGCTGAGTAGCTGCAAAGAGGAAAAGGTCAAAGGTGATGGTTTTAATTTTATAAATATAGTATCTCAGATGTCTGTTCTATAGCCATATAGAAGAATTCATCTTTCAAAAGAGATGAATCATTCAATACTATAGTAGGTTCAAGAGAGAGAGAGAGAGAGAGAGAGAGAGAGAGAGAGAGAGAGAGAGAGAGAGAGAGAGAGAAACTAAGTATGAAGGTATGGTATAGTGAGATATCCACCCCACCCATACCTGTTGTACGGACCACACCCATTTGGGCATGGAAACAGGTGTGGGCGTGATGGGAAGATCCCCAGGGTGGGATGACAGGGAAGATTGGAGGACATCCTTGGAGCAGGAATCCGTGGCAGTCATCTGTTTTTTGTGAAAGTGAATTCTCCCCGAATAAACCTCAATCAGCCCGTATTATGTCCCAGAATATTATTACATGCTTTAGTATAGTAGATTGGGGTATGTTACATATATGAGCAAGGTAAGTAAGCAAGAGTATATGAATTCATTGAGGGGAGACATCGGAAATGGAATAATCAGCGTTGGCAAGATGGCTTAGCAGGTAAAAGTCCTCTCCATATAAGCCTAAAGGCCAGAGTTCAATCCCTGAATTCCACAGTGAGAGAGAATTGACTCTGAATCTCAAATATTGTCTTCTAACCTACATATAAACACTATGGCATATACATACCCACATTCTTATATGCACAACACACACACACACACAAAATGTAAAAATTAAATTTAGAAAACAATAGTTCCTTTAAAGAATTCAAATGTACTGATTCACACTAGGGAGATGAATTAAGTAAGGAAAGAGAGAAAAAAAAGAAGGGAACCATGAAATATTACCACGAAAGAAAAAAAAGCAAGCAAACAAACGAAACAAAACAAAATTCCCAAAACAATGACATAGTTCACGGGTGTCATAGAAGATGTAGACTAAGCCAGTTGCTGTCAGTAGTAACCAAATGATTCTAGCACAGTTGGAGTAAGCTTAAAGGCAGAAGAAAGGGATTTTTTAAGCCATTACCATAGATTTTGAACAATAAGAGATTTCAATTAGTATACTTGATATAAAGTAGCATGGCTAGTTGCAGTCAACACATTTTTCATGATTCTGGAAAGCCCAAGAAGTTAGGAAAGTGTTAAAAAAAAAAAAAGCAATATTAAGGTTGAAAATGAGGAAACAAAGACGATAAAGGGGAAAACACAATTTAAGTTGGGTCTAAGACCATCATGGACATAGAGAGCTGAGCCTTTAGAGCAGCACTGGTACAGAGGCAGGTGGGAGTGAGTGGGGGGATAGCCACAAGCAATGGGGCAATTGCTTACTACACAGGAGCAGAGGAATCGGAACCATGGAAGTCTAGGATGTAGAGGAAAGTAAAAATGTGGAGAAATTTGGGCCACACAGGAGGAATTGGTGTTGTTGACTATGAAGCACAAGATTTCTCAGAGTGTGGGTGGATGCAGCTCAGTGGTGAAGTTATAGTCTACAATGTGGTAGAGTGGCTATTGACCATGGGTCATACCTTGGTCTTCAGCAATGCAAACAAAGAAAGGGAAGAAGGGAAGGGGAGGGGAGGAGAGTGGAGACGAGGGGAGGAAAGGGAAAGAAAGGAGAGGAGAGGAAAGTAAGAAAATGAGAAGAAATGTGAGGATTGGCTCCTATTTTGTCTTGCAAACACAAGCCAGGACAATGGGATTGTGGTTGGGAGTGAATAGCCATCAGCAAGGCTGATGATGAAGCCATCTGCTAATTTTAGAGAAGGACATGGAGAGAGGAAGACCTATGAAATGTAAAAGACATGAAAATGAGTGCATTGCCTCATGCTAGGAGAACAATGTTTGGAAAACCAGCAAGATTGTATCTGGCCCTTTCCCTAAGTAATCTTCATAAAAATGGGATTCAAAGTGTAATTCCTGCAGGTGGTGGTAGGAGGTGGGGGTGATTGCAAAACAGGATGAAAGTGGCTGTGATAGAAGAGAGTAGGACCTTACACAGAATGATGGTCCAAATCACACACCATAACCACCAGTAATGACTGCAAAATGGAATCAAAAATGTAAGAGATGAACAGACGGTTCCCAAGCTTGGTGGGGGTCATGTTGAACATACTGCACATCCTCGAGATTCTTGCAGATCTAAATGGTACAGAGGTCATTGGAAAATTTAGTGTAAAGGACCATCCATAGAAATGCATCCTGGGTACCCTGACTTCTCTGGCTTTTTCTGTGAAATTTGACTACCTGATGTATTTATCCATCTTATTAGTATTAATAAGGAGAAATATCTGTACCTGTAAAACATATTCTAATATGGTGCTATTGACAGAATGGTCTGAACTCAACATCAGCATCTACCAAGGGCTCCTTAAAATCACCAAATATCCTCTTGTCACTAGTACCTCTCAATCATGTGGATGGGGCATAAAAATTATTCTAACAAGCCCTTCTGGTTCTTAGGGGTATCAGTATTGCTAAGGATCTATAGTAGCTATTACCCTCACTCAGATGACCTCAGCATTGTCAGATACTCGACTGCCAATGGGGCAGTCTCATAGCTTTCTTTTTCTCACAGACTAGACCTGAAAGCAGGTAGATTTCACATGAACTGTAGAGTTAGATCATCAAGTGCATAATCACTGACTATCCATGCCCAACCTTGCCCTGGCAGAGGCTCTTTGGGATAACTTACTTCACTGGCTGGCTGAGGAGCTCTCTGAAGAAGGTGTCGAGGTGCTCACTGCTTCCCTCCCCCTGCGCCAAAGCACAGTTCAGCTAATCAAACTCAAGCACCCAGATGATCTGACAGAGCAGATACACGAACTGCTTTGCTCCTGGAAGCGATCGCTCCCAACTTCCATGGACAAAATTCGCCTCCTGGCTCGCCATCTGCGAAAGCTGGGCCGGGGTGATCTTGCAGAAGAGCTCAAATTCAAGTGGGAACATAAGGTGTTCACAGAACCTCAGGCCTGGTTTGACATGGCTTCCAAGTGAGTAAAGGTGTGCTCACCCTACCCTAGAAAAGGGCTTGTGGACTTTAAAGATTGGGTGTCAGCTTTTTCCACTTAACAAGTAAGACTGTTTGAAGTGAGTCTGTTTTGATAGACTCACTACTGAGGAATCGATGGAAACAAAGGAGAATCCTAAGACAACTAAAGTCATCCCGGATTTCTGCACCTTCAATGATGACTGACATGTTTTGGGCAACCAACAGCTCCATGGGTTGAGTTAAGCTTAAAGGCATTTGTAGTAGAGTTTCCTTAGTGTCTTGTTAAGGGTTTCTATTGCTGTGAAGGGACAACATGACCATGATAATTCTTATAAAGAAAAACACATTTCATTGGAGTGGTTTATATTTTCAGAGGTTTAGTTCATTATCCTCGTGATGCAACAGGTTGGTGTGCAGGCGGACAGGATGCTGGAGAAGTAGCTGCAAGTCCTACTTCTTGCCTTGAGGGAACAGGAAGTGGTCTGAGACACTGGGCATGGCTGAAGCATATGTAAGATCTCAAAGCTTACCTCCATACTGACACACTTCCTCTAATAAGACCACACCTACTCCAACAAGGCCACACCTCCTATGGATGCTACTCTTCTTGGGGGGCCAATTACTTGCAAATAACCACATCCAGTTTACTTTTCAGCACCTAAGTGTGAGGTAAAAATATAATATAGAGAATGTCTTTTAGACAATTGTTAAATAAAATAATTTGCCACTCATGACTCCAAGCGGCCAATTCCAGTTCCATGATGACAGAGGCCCACGTGTGACAGTGTGAGATAAAGGGGGGCCAACGACGGGCAGTCACAGGTCACTTTTAGGAAACTGAAACTCTTAAAATAAATGAATAGTATAGAAGCACTTCGCTTACTGCCAAAAGCTCTTTTATGACAAGTGCCCTTTGAATTGGTGACTTTTCTTACTCATTATTAGGGAAATGAAATTGTGGAAAGAAAATGAAATTGTGAAAAGTAACCCAAGGTCTCTTTCAGTTCCTTAAAGATGGTGTTTATTACACAGAGGAATCTCATTGCATAAATGTCGGGGTTTAGGGCAGGGAGGAAGGCACAATACTATAGTCTGAGATGTTCACTTTATTAGGGACTTGGACTCGGGTCAAACTGGGGTTCACAGTCTCATCACAGAGAAGACAGCATTAAGCAGAAGTGGCATTTCCTAAAGATACTTTAAAACAGGCATCAGCATGAGTATTAAGAGAGAAGAAAAAAGCCCAGGAGGAAAGCTACTCAGATAGCACAGTGAGGGCTTATCTAAGATGGTCACGATTGACTGTCTTATTAGTCAAGAAATATTTTTACACAACATCCAAAAGGTGCAATGTGTATTTTCTTGTGTTCTTGAAGTAGAGAGAACAAAGTAAAATATTTAGTGTTTTTCTGACAACAAAAAATATTTCATGTTCCTTTTATTCTGCCACTAGAGATTACTGTTACAGATATTAACTATTTAGCTGTCCATCTCTTTTCCAAGAAAAAGATTTTATTTTTATTCATAAGAATTAATTTTTGCACACTCATATACATGCTTCTGCAAACACCCCTCCCCACCGCACAAGCCTCCTAATATACATGACCTCATTCACTCATTCCTTAACCCTATTCATCTCGTCAGTGTCTGCACACACATACACACACACTCCAGAATATTCATAAGCACATGTTGTAGGCTATTCATTGAAGATGTGTTGCATCCTTTTATGCTGTGGAACATTTGTTTAATGATGCAAAGATGTGTTGCATTCTTTTGTGTTGCATTAGTTTAACTCTGTGAAGCTGTGTTACCCTGCCTATCTAAAACACCCGATTGGTCTAATAAAGAGCTGGATGACGGCCAATAGGTAGGTAGAAGAAGGGTAACTGGAGCTGGCATGCAGAGAGAATAAATAGGAGGAAAAGAAGAATAGAAATATTGGGGACTGATAGGAGAAGAAGAGGATGACATCAGGAGCCAGCCACTCAGCCACACAGCAAGCCTCAGAGTAAGAAGTAAAAAAGATACACAGGAAGGAGAGATACAAAAGCCCAGGGGCTAAAGGTAGACAGGATAATTTAAGATAAGAAAATCTGTCTGGAAACAAGCCAAGATAAGGCTTGCTTGGCATTCATAAAAAGTAATAAACCTCTATGTGATTATTTGGGAGCTGGGTGATGGGCCCCTCAATGAGCCAAAGAGAAAAACAAAACAAAACAAAACAACAAAAACAACAAAAAAACCAAACTAACAAACAAAATCAACAAGCATACTTCTTTCCATACCTCTCAAAATCTCACTCTCTGACATATCATTTACTTTACAGACTTACAGCTATATGTGTATATCATGTGCATCTGAATACTGTAAGTACCACACCACATCCACCTGTTCAAACACATTCTTTCACACACACACACACACACACACACACACACACACACACACACATATGTTATCAAAACTACTTGGACACTTTCTTGTAGACTCACAGGCATATATCCTTTCACATGCAAACCACTCCCACATCTCATACACTTATAGACCATGTATACCCTCAAACATACACACACACACACACACACACACACACACACACACAATCTTGACCTGAACACTTACGTTTTCACACACTCTCTTACAGAATCTATTTTTGCTCTACCTCCTTTTTCCCTCACGTGCATTTAAATGCATATCTGAAATGGAAATACATACCTATATCCCTGCATACACGAAGGCAGATTTTTTCCAGTGTTAGAACATTTCTCATACTGTCCTAACATTAAAACAATAAGGAAGCATATAACAAAGTGCCCCAGAATTCTCTATAGCCTTATGTACCTGGTGTCTATCTGATGTTCTCACCTATGTGGATCACATTGGGTTGCTTACTAGTAAGAGCTAGGAGAGACTGGTGGAAGAGACAGGAGATAGTTACACTACGTCTCTCTTCTCCCTGTGGCCTTGATTGTAAAGTTGTGTCTCTCATCTAAACTCGTCTCCAGGAAACCACACTCCCCTGGGTTTTGGTAACTGCTTTGTTGCTTTCTTTAGGTCTAGAGCTTGCATCAGCTTCCTTTTGAGGAACAGCAGCATCATCCCACATGCTTCCCATACATTCCTCTCCTCTTTTAAGACAAGGCTCCTTGACTTACTACTATTCAGCTGTCCCGTCTATGTCTTATTGTAATCCCCACCGATGTATCTCTCCAGCCTCGCCTCACACTCTAGAAACCTGTCTGCATGTTTCTACCACAGGGGGAGTCATGCATCTCGTATACCATTTATAGTTTCAAAAATTAATGTCTTATTAGATTATGCACATCTTCAATGCCTCTAAGTGTTTTACATGAAAATCACATCTTATCGTAGTTAATCTTAAAAACGTTTAAATTGAGAAATGTAACACATATTCCTTGCGGTTTGAGTTTTTAATTCAACTTTATGTTGATGAAATGTACTAGTTTTGCCATGTGCAGCCATAGCTTGTTCATTTACAATATTTCATTATGGGAGAAAATGAAATTATGCACATTTTTTGTTATTATTTATTTTTTGGTTTTTCAAGGCATGGTGTATCTGTGTAGCCTTAGCTGTCCCGGAAGTTTCTCCATTGACCAGGATGGACCCAAAATCATGTAGATCAACCTGCCTCTGCCTCCTAAATGTTGGATTAAATGCATGAATCACCACCACCATGCAAATTATTCATATATTCTATTATAGATTGGCATTGAAATAAATTATACTTTCAGATTGTCAGTGCTATTATAAAAATACTTGGCATACTTTTTATCATATATATAAACATATATGTTTATGACACTTCTAAGTACATCTATATCTATATATCTATATCTATATCTATCTTTCCTCTACATAAGAGTGAAATGGTAGGCTGTTAAAATTAATTTAGCCTTGCTACTTGTTTGTACCAGACAGGGTTAAGGATGATCTACTATTCATTTTAATCACCAACTTCTTCAGTGAAAAACCCATTATCACTGTCATTCTGCTAATTATTAATCGCCTTGATTTACACATTAGATGAAATTAACATTTATTGTTCAAACTAACAAAAGCTATGGTGCTTAATCATAGTTGTTTTGATGATGTGGTTGTGTCTGGGGTATAAAATTCTGAAGTATTTTGGAGAAAAATAGGAAGGCCTTAAATAAGCAGTGAATGCTTTGAGAATGTCACAATCCAGTCTTCAAAAGAGTTAACATCCTTGGGCAAAGGTCTATTTTTTCTAAACTAGTACTTCTCAGAAACTGATGGGAACAGACCCACAGACAAACATCAGGGTGAGCTCAGTGAATCTTGTGGGAGAGGGGGAGGCAGAGGGAGAAAGGACATTAGGAGCCAGAATGGTCAAAGACACCACAAGAAAACATTCCTGGACTCAGAGGCCCAGTGAAGCCAAACCGACAACCAGGGAGCCTGCATGGGTCTAACCTAGGCCCTCTGCATGCATGTAACAGTTGTGTAACTTGGTCTTTTTGTGGGAGTCCTAACTGTAGGAGCATGAGCTGTCTCTGACTCTTTTGCCAGCTTTTGGGACCCCTTTCCTCCTACTCAGTAGCTTCCTCCAGCCTTGATACAATTGAAGTGAATAGTTTTATTGCAAGTTGATATGCCACACATTGGGTTGATATCCCTGGGAGGCCTGCCCTTTTCTGAAGGGAAACGGAAGAGGAGTGGATGGGGGTTAGGAGGGAAGGGGGGAGGGGGAACTGAAACTGGGATTTAATATGTGAGAGAATAAATTAATAAAAAGGAAAAAGAATGAACCTGAACTGGCCCATGAACTCAGGACATTAAACATCTCTCCCTTGCCACACCAAGTCTCCCTAGAACCCACGACTAGTAAAATGGTGCCCACAAAGGAACCCATGAGGACAGGTGGGTGGGTGAGAATGTGAATGTGGTAAGAAATAGGCTCTTGACTCAACCTTCGGTTTGATGTGGAGCATGGATAGGGAAAGGGAAATCTAAAGTATTCAAGTTCTGAAGGCCCCATGTTAAACTCTCCAGCTGCTGCTAGTGTCTTCAAGAGACTGATGATTTCATGTTCAGGAAGATTCTTTCTCAGTAAGAAGTCCAGACCTGTCATGGAGTAAGAGGTTAATGGAACATACAGAGTCATGCTCCCTCAAATTAAAAAGGCAACTGTATGGGTGAAGAAGGAAACAGCAGGTAAGGTTGATGTCAGGGCAGATGTAGGCTGGGGGATTCCCAGAAGCTTAGCCAAGTGTTACTTCTGTAATGCAACCCTGCAGACAGCCACAGCATGGTCTGAACAATTTCAGAGGTGTCATGGCAGTCTTTGACCCTTGGCTCAGTAACTCGTCCAATCTTCTCCAGCTTACTATCTAACACATTAAATAGTTTACTCTCTCGTTAGCATTGTTGACATTTTGTGAGTCAGCACCCGCTCCTGAATTCCTAGGATAGGATGAA